CAGACAAATGGTTATCCAACATCTTTTTAAAGACTTCCAGTGTTGGAGCACTCACAATTTCTGAAGGCAAGGAGTTCCACTGGTTAATTGTTCTAACTGTCAGGAAATTTCTCCTTAGTTCTAAGTTGCTTCTCTCCTTGATTAGTTTACAACCGTTGCTTCTTGTGCTTTGGAGAATAGCTTGACTCCCTCTTCTTTGGGGCAGCCCCTGAGATATTGGAACACTGCAAACCAGTAGGGATGGCAGGATGGCCACACACCCCAATTGTTTCTCTGATTGCCCATGCTGTTGCCTGCATGTTTTTTAGTCATTTTATAATGTTCTGTGCACAGAGCAATCTACAGGGGACTGTGCATGCGCAAGCAACACACGGCCAGCGTGGATGTGAGCAAAGCGAGCACAACACATGCAAAATGAACTGGCAGTAACGCTGGCAGCAACCCACTCCTACTCCAGTCCAGGGGTTGTATTCAGCAGGTTCTGACCAGTTCTGGAGAACCGGTAGCAGAAATTTTGAGTGGTTCTGAGAACTGGCAAATGCCACCTCTGGTTGGCCCCGCCCCCATCTATTCTCTGTCTCCCGAGTCCCAGCTGATCGGGAGGGAATGGGGATTTTGCAGTATCCTTCCCCTGCCACGCCCACCAAGCCACGCCTACAGAACCGGTAGTAAAAAGTTTTGAATCCCACCACTGCTCCAGTCCCCTAATCATCTTGATGGCTCTTCTGTACACTCTTTCTAGAGTCTCAACTTCATCTTCGTCAGGAGCCCCACCAGGACTGAACTCCAGGCTGTGGGCAGAATTTGCCTGCAATCCTGCCTTCCAACACTGTGCCACAGGGGCTCCTTAAATATCTGCTGGGTCTTTTCCTCCCATCCAGGAAGTGTTAACCCTCACAAAATTGCTTGTGGTCAAGAGAGACAGGAAGCTATGTGCCTCAATGTTCTCCAGAACATCCAGGCTACTGGAGGGCCTGGAGGGTGGGGTGTTTAAAGCTGGAAGCTGGGCAGATAATGCTTCTTGCAAAAAAGCAGGCACTCTGGGGATTTCTGTTATTAGTCTTTTTTTCAGCTTCCCACACACTTGGTAAGGTTTCCAGTGTCTTCCTGTGCATGCTGTCTCTTGTCTCCCAGAGAAGATTCAGGTTCCCACAGATGTTTGAAAAGTCCCTTCTGCAGTTATCTATTCCTTTACACCAACTACTCCTGCATCTGAAAGAGGCTACAGCCTAAAAGACTATTTTCTAAACCAGGGGTTTGCTGGCTGGGGAATTCTGGGAGTTGAAGCCCTCCAGGCTTAAAGTGGCCAAGGTTGGAGACCCCTGGTCTAAGGTAAAAGTAAAGGTTCCCCTTGCACATCTGTGCTAGTCATTCCTGACTTTAGGGGGCAATGCTG